AAGCATGGGGCCCAGACACGAAACCGGAAGAGCGCAACATGTCATTCCCCTTGTGATATTGAAGATCAAGGCGGGCGGAGGTGCCATGAGACTCTCGCATGGTTTCGGTCAGTTGACCCTTTCCGGCATAGTGCTCGATGAAGTGGAAGTCCTGCAGTGTAGGTGGCCATGGTTCTCGAATGCCATTGTGGAAAATGGTTTAAACCTTCATGGGACTCTACCAAGGAAGGCTGAGAGGACACAAACCCCCCCCACTTCATACAAAATAGAGGTGTTCTTGTCCTGAGACAAGTTCAGTCTCTCATTCCATAGAATCAGCAATGTGATGAGCACCAATACCTACCAGAGGGAACGGATGCTTTTGCACCCATGGATTTCTGCATGGACATCATTGCTTTGTCAAAACCATGGCCTTCGGAGCCTTTGCCCTTAGAAGTTGAACGCCAACTTGAAAAGCATCGCGCGGAGGCATCAAGCTACTTTGCGGATTGGTTGGCGCAAGCACACTAGCTGATTGAGCCCTGGTGTCTCGATCGAGGCCCATGTCAGCACGCACGCCAACTTGATTCATGCATGCAGCAAACATGCCAGCAAAACTTTTGGGTCGAAGTAAATCTGAAGGGTTGGCTCCAGAATGAAAGCCCTTTGCCGCCAAAGAGTTCCGCATAGACATCGTACCTGGCAGATGCTATCGGTCATTAAAGTATGGGGGGGCCCGCATCAACCCAGGGTTCTAGAGTGGAACCTCAAGTCTTGTTGGCTGCGTCACTCCCAAATTGATCTTTTTTTCGGAGCAGGATCTCTATAGTTTGCTTTGCAAGTCTTAGGCGGGCTGCAAACGGCATCATGAGCGACTTATTGAACAGGCTAGGCGGTTATCATTTTTCACCCTGCAGTCTACCGCTCCACTGACCTGCCATTACCCCAATTGGAAATTGCACACCCTATTCGTGTGCGACAAGACCAGACAAAATGCCTATAGAAGGCTCTTAAGATCTAAGATCGGCCACGGCCACGACCATGCTTCCTAGAGCCGTCGTCGCCAGCAGGTGGACATGGAAGTGTCTTCACGAACTCAATGCCCTCCTCATTGAGCTGCTCGCCTGACAAAGGTTGGGAGAATGGTGTGCCCCCTGATAATTTCATGCACGAAGTGGCCATGCGGACTTGTTCACCTAGCTCAAGTCCACACGAACAAGGTTTGCATGATTGTTTAAATTGTTTTGGACCTGCAAGCATCCTTGTGACACGTTTCGTTTTGGGTGGCCTACATCCGTCCGCTGCAAAAACTTCATGGCCAAGTCCTCGTTGATGACACTCTTCCATGTTGCATCCTCAGCAGCCTTTTCCCAGTAGTAGTCGATGTGCAGCCACCAAGAGTCCTGCACGCAGCCGTCAATGGTGAAAAGGAATGGAGTGGGTTCACCATGGTTACATACTAATCGGTCTATTTTACGGGTGTTCATGGACGTCAAGTCGCACATGATATGTTAAACACAATCTCCTCACACCAGGTGTGGCCGGTGAGGTACTTCCGCAAGAAGGAATTGTAGATGTCCCGCGTCAGGTCAAACCTCTCAATGTTAGACTGCGTGGTGGGCCGATAGCGTTTGGCAAAGGTGGCCTTCTCCTTGCCCTTCTTCTCCTTTGCTTCTCCCTTCTTGCTCTTTGGAGCCCGTTTGGGAGCTGCCTTTGGCCCGTCCTCCGTGTCCGGCTCAACCTCATCATCATGAACCTCATCGCCCTCGCTCTTGCGCTTGGCGCTCGCTTTGTTCTTCTTATTGGTCTTTGGTTGGGCCTTTGCTTTTGCTTTCTTCTTTGGTTTGTTCTTTGCCTTGGCCTTCGCCTTGCTCTTCGCTTTGCCCTTGGCTTTGCCCTTAGGCTTTCGCTTGCGCCCTGAATCTTCACAAGGCTCAGGCTCATGCTCCTCATCGTCATCGCCTTGCTCTTCTTCCTCTCCCTCCCCATCATCATGGTCATCTGCATTCTTCTTCTTCTTCTGCAGCTTCTCAAGCTGCTGCTTGCGGCTGACAAATTGGTCCTGGAGCCGGCTAATTGGATCATGATGTCAATTGCAAAATGTTGCAGAGGTTCATGCATATATGCATGCATGCATGTATGCAGTTTTTTTTTGGCAAACCCTCCCAAAACAAACTTGAGCCCCATACTGAGCGCTCCTCGCCCTTCACCAAGGCTCTCTTCTTCGCTTCCAGCTCAGCCTCCAAAGCTTCCCCAGGAGCGGCGGGGGGCAGCAGGAGCAGCAGGTCCACCGGTTGAAGAAGGCTGCCACTGTGTTTCAGCTATGTCCATAGCTGAACCTGAATTGCGGGCAAGATCAGATGGAAGGAGCTGGCCCAAGGACCTCACCCTATATACCAAACAACTATACAAACTCACCATAGCAAATCATAGCAAAACTTGCTTGCTTCTCCAAAAATGCTTGTGGTTGTGGCCAAGGGGCCGGTACGGGCCGCCGGGCGCGGAGCCTCCTCCTTATTCACCTTCTTCTTCCTTGGATGGCTCCACGAAAGAAACAAATGACCCTTGGGTTGGCCCCAAGTGTCAAAACGACCCCCAAACGGATGTGTTCATGTGAGTCCCACCAGCCTCGACGCTGACGAGCGGTCCAACCCACTCCCCCGGGGAAAACAAAAATTTGAGCAAGGACCAGTTTCTCTTCCATCCTGCTTTTCACCATCTTAAGCAAAGCTGAAATGGCAGCTGGATCGGGTCTTTGTGGAGCATTGTTTTGGGTCGCATGCTGGGGTGGTGTGTCAGGAGGTTGAGCGCGTTCATATGGACCAGGGTCACGTAGTTCAGGGGGAGATTCCTCCACAATTTGCACATCATCATCCCCACCCATGTCCTCGCAGGCCAAGGACAGCAATTCGTCAAAGGAACTGCTTGATTCAAGCGCCTCGAGCTCTGAATTGCTGCGGGAAAGGAGGTCACGGAGTCTGTAGTCAGAGATGGTGTCAATAGTGGTGTCGATACTTGGCTCATCAGCATCATGGTTGTCATCAGACTTAGCATCATCATCATCATCTTCATCTTGGAACAGAAATGGGGTGCCGCGACCTTCCTCACAGTACATATGTTAAACCTGGCCAAAAAGAACATGTTGAAAGGTTAGCCAAATAAGAGTGGTTCCATAAAACTCATATGTCATCTAAGAAGCTTCATAGGCCTTGCTGTAGGCACGTGCAAGATCAAGCACCAGCTCACGGGCTAATTTGTCCTTAAGCTGTGCTGGGTTAACATGATATGGGTAAACACACATGGCAACACGGAACACTCGAGGTCGGATCCAATGAACGACGCTTCGAACAAAAATAAGCCTAGCAACTCTCGGGATTTCCCATCGTCTCCATTTCCGTTTGACCAGGGTGAGCATACACTTGACCACAAAAGCAGTGCCATAGACGAAAGATGTTGCATCTTTAGTGCTCATATCCACTTCCATGACTTCATAGAAAGCCTGAATTGGTTCCTCCAAGTATTTGATATACTTTGTCACAATGACACCCTCATTTGCCATGGCTTCAGTGTAAGCTTTCAACACCCTGAAGTTGATGCGGAGGTTGGGCAAGGATGCATGAACCACATTGGAATCATTTGCGTCCTTCACCAGGAGTTTGCGTTGAAGGGCCCGCTTCCGCAACGCACGGCTTTGCTCCCAGATTTCACAACATGGCTTAAACGAGAATACGCGACTAGGTTCTTTTGACTTTGGCATCCTGGCAAAATCCCCTGGCCAGAAGGCTGCAGAGTGAACAATGGTTTGTCTCACGTCATGATCCACCAGCCCAATTGCTAGGCCCCACCGGCCCCCAGTTCCCAGAAGGCGCACGTCCCGATCTCAGGATCTTGGCCAGCAGGATCCATCGTGCCAGCAAATGGCAAAAACAAGCGGCTGTTTGCGGAAGGGCGGCATGATGTCTCAAAGAGGTCTTTTTGGTATTGTTGGTCTGCAAATTGGGTGGATTTCCCATGAAAAGGTCAGTGATTGTTAGCATGTGCCTGACTACTATTGGGAACATCCAGCAAGGAATGCTCAGCCACTTGACTGCGCCTCTGCAAGAGAGCTTCACAAGAAACGTGGAATTTCGTGAAATCCGGTTATGGTCGTTTGTGCTAATGTGGTCGTTTGACCAAACATCTGCTTATAAAGAGTCGTTCAAGGATCCAGGTAGTAGTAGTCGTCGTAGGGGTAGTGGTGGTAGTAGTAGTAGTAGTAGGAGTAGGAGTAGGAGTAGTAGTAGTAGTAGTAGTAGTGTTATCTAACTTCCACAGCTCGTCTAACTTCTGAGTCACTGCCACCAGCTGTTCAGGAAGCAAATGAACATTCATACAAAAGTACATATTTAATCTTTCGCCAGATGTTTCGCAAACATAATACTTTCGCCAACTCGAGAAAAACTTTCGCCAAATGAGATGTTGATATGTTCCGGGTCATCGTCATACACAATGCTAGATCGACAACAATATATACTGTACCTGGATGTTCCAACGATGAAAACAACCAACCAATTCTGGTCTAGGTTGGGTCGACCCAGCGAGAGAGAGAGAACGCAAATGGAACAAACACGGCAAATGAGCGCAAAAGGCACATACACACAAACATATAAACACACATTGAACAAACAAAGAAAGAAACAAACAAACACAAACAAACAAACAAACCAACAAACAAACCAACCAACCAACCAACCAAACCAAACCAAACCAAACCACACAACACAACACAACACAAAACACACACACACACACAGAAAACAACCAACACAACACAAAACAAAACAAAACAAACAAACAAACAAACAAACAAAAGATCGTCACAATCACAACCATCAGTTTGTGAAGAAAATTCAACTAACAACCCCCCCCAAAAAAAAAGACACAAAAAACAACACAAAACAACCAGACATGTTTGGTTGGTTTGGGTCTATGAGCCTATGGAGTTCACATGAGTGTAAGCTTTCCATATGTGGCCGAGGAGCTGAGTGAAGGCCTCACTGCTGGGGTACAAGGAGTGGGACTCGGTGGCCCTGAAAAGCCCAAACCTGGGCCATCCGATGCTCCGGTTCGGTCGACCGTTCGGACGACTCGCGGTGTCTCGCGTTCGACCGTTCGTGGGCGACCGGCGACCGTTCGGGTGCGGACGAGGTGCGACAGGTTCCATGTGGAAGATCCTTCTGAAGATGGAAGCACAACGAGTCCCAAATCCATGTGAAGATGGAAGCTACAGTAAATACGTAAGTCAAATATGGTAAAATTGAGGACCGGAGTCCTTGATTGTAGAGGGTGTATGCCTACGCCAACCACTTCCATGTACGTATGTTGGTTTTCAACTCGAATGCAGCCAACAGCTGTCACACAGGCTGTGGTGGCACTTCCAACTATTTCAACTTATCCAAACCACCGAGCCCCACAGATTGAACGCCCCACGGATTGGATCTGAAGCCACCAACCTTGAATCGAACCGCGCTCCGAGCGGCTCCGGATCAAACATCTCTCGGCAAATGTGGATCATGAACTCCTGGTGGATCAGATCAAAGGAAGCAAATCTGTGAAGCAAGTCATCGGCACCTGCAAGGGCTAAAACTGAATCGTAGCAGCATCATGATGTGGCATGTGGTGTTTTTTGCATTTGGAACCTCTAGACTCTAGATAGAAAGCGGGACAGTCCTTTCGGCTTGTTGCTCAGATGTTTTACTACTGTATCATACTGTATCTATGCTTTTGGGTCACTGCAAAGGGCTTTTTCAATGCTTCTTCTGCATCCCTCAGCCTCCAAAGCCGAATCGACCGAGGTCGTGCTCCGAACCAACCGAGGTCGTGCTCCTTGAAGAGGCCTCCCCCGTCCACGCCGGACTCCAGGGTGCCATCAGGCGCCACGAACTCCACACGGAAGGTGTCCCGCAAAGCGGCTTCGTCCAAGCCTTGAGCACCCGGACGGATGGTGGATTGGAGGGGGAAGGCGCATGGGGCGTTGGAAGGGTCACCACATGGTTGCTATGGTTTGCTGGTCTCTTGGGCCATTTAAGGACTTATACTAGGACTCATATATCAGTACACTTGACACCTCTTATTTCCATGATTTCTCCCTGAATGGTCTGTGTGCAGAAAACCTGTTGCCCCGAAGACTGTCGGCCCTCACGAAGTTTGGCCACCCACCCGAAGACTTCCGACGACTGGCCTTCGAAGGCAGCGATGCCGTCGTCCACCAGATGGTTCCGGCGGATCTGCCGCTTGTCCAAGGTCTGAGTGTCAGATCCGGAGGAGCGGTCGAGGAGGGAAGGACGGCCGTGTGCAGGGTGGTGGCCGTTCTGTTTCTTTTTCGGCGTGCCCAGGCTGAAGAAGGATCACATCGATCAAAGGGTGCCTGGAGGGTAGGGGGGGCCCATTTATCCCACTTAGGGTCCAAAAAAAAAAACGCACCCCGTTGGACGCCTTTGGAACTCCGGAAGTTGGCGTATGATTCTCATCAAAAACCATCGACAATGATTTACGCAGAGTACTGAGTACACCAAATGAGTACGCTGTCATGCAGTTATGGGGATCAATTCACGTACAGTAGATAGATCCCATACTCTTCGAACTCTTCAGTACCAGGACAACCCAAATCGAGAAACACCCAACACATCCTTGAAAGCAAACAGCCTGGACTCAAATGCACAGCAAGCATCAGCTCCTGAAGCTCTACAAGTTTGCTACTAAACCCGGATCACAAAAGAAGGCCGATTGTGTTGAGATTCTGAATCAACGAACCAATATCAGTCTGTCAATGGGCTGGATTATGAGAAGTTTTTGGTTTTAACAGATTGGGTATGGGTCGAAAAACAGAAGTTGGCTGCGGCCGATGGCTTTTACATTTTATACATTTTACTACTGTAATTCAAGAGGGCATGGCTTTTGTCCCACCGGAAGGGCAAGGCGCTTCGACTACAATGTTTTGTGCGATCCAAAGGGTTGACATGGCTGTTCGCTCCATGCTGTCCGGTCCTAGCTGTCGGGCACGGGCGAGCATGTACTTCAGTGAGGGAGCTTTCCAACCTGCAACGATCCAGCCTCCTCTTGCTTTCTGAGGCCCAGGCTGACAACCCCCATGGGCCGCGAAAGGCTCTTCGCTGATCCTAGCAGCTGCTGCTGTTCATAGAACTGCTAAAGAAGCATACAGGCAAAACTAATCATCGAATTCTGTCTGTTTGCGGGTCACTCTTAGTCTTAGCCTTGACGCACAAATGTCGAGGCAACAACACAAACCAAAACTAAATTGCACATCGAAGCAAATTGTCAATTGATGGCCAGATCAACATCCAAAAGGTCAAACATGTGTCAGCACATGTCAGCACCTGTATGCCTCGGGAAAGCTCTCATCTCAGGACATACTCCCTTAAACATTTTGACAAGCGATCTGATGGACAGGGGCTTGTGTTCAAAAGGTAGACTTCTTGAACAAAGCCGCTGTACCAGTTCAACAATGCCACTGTCCAGCAGGTGTGACATAATTCAACAAATATGTAACTTTGCGGCCGTAGCGGGCCGTAGCAGCTACAACTGTGTTTTTTGCCATTCCAGTCTTCAAGATCCATCCTGGTTCTGTCGGGTTTGGTCAACACGCCAGTCAGCCGTGCCACGCATGATCGTCGCGCCGCGCCAGTCCTGATCGGCTAGGATGGCATTGTGCAGGATGGACACTCGATCCTGGTGGCCACGTTGGATTCCGATGAATCAACCATTTGCACAAGGTTGCCACGTTGGAACTCACCTGTGAGATTGCCAAAGAACATTGAAACGGTCCATCCCTTGGCATAGCGGCAAGAGTAGGGTGTGCATTAATTCAACCCCATCTATGATAATTATGGGATGGGGTGTCCAAGGTATAGCCAAGGGTCCAACTGTCTACCTTGTTGGGTGTCAGCTAGTTCCAGATCAAACGCCGTCTCTACTGATACTGCTCTCCTGACCTCAAAGGACGTGTGTCGGTCTGGCCAATGTATGTACAGTACGTTCGTGCCTGGGGTCCCCAAACCACCCTAATCACCCTAATCCGAAGCTGTTCAACAGATTCTCTCCTCTGGCAGTTCCCACTTGTTGACAAGAAGGAATGTACAATGCATGCTGGGCACAGACAGAGCAAAGCCGCTTAATGTAGAATTTTGATTGAAAGAGGCAGGAGCCATTCCTGTGCATTCGCACCATTTGGTTGGGGCTCTGTAACAAAATGACTGACCTCGACCGCGCGCGCGGTAAAGACTAAAGATCAATGCAATCCAAATGGATCCAATGGCCCCGGGGATGTTTATTCATCCAACTGGGCGCCAGTCACCCCCGTGCCTCGAAGGGCAGCACGTGCGGCATCTCGGCAAGCACCGCCTGAAGCGCTTTCTCGGCCAAGGCCACCGAGGACGTCGCACCTGGACAGTCCGGTGCGGCCGTTTTCGGCCGCCCAGCACGGAACAGGTGCGAGGTCACAAGGTCACGCTCTTGGTTCGCGACCATCTGGTGATAGGTCAGAACATGTCAGAACAGAAATGGCATCCGAAGAAGTGACACATGCAATCAGATGCATCCGAACAATTTGGACATCCTAAGATCAAGAGAACCCACTTTCCAAGGTATCAAATGTGATAGCATTGTTGCCATCTGTTGCCCCAAAGCACTCTACACTCACTACCACTGCGCATTTCAACGTGAGGCCCCGACTGCTTCCAACACATCGAGCCTGGTGGAAGAGGAAGAACTGTGGGAGGTGTGGATCTTCTCGCCATGTGACTTGGGAAGAACCGGTCTCCAAAATCTCTAAGAACAAAATCTCGGTAGAAGTCCGTAGTCGGATCGCATACAGAAGCAGTTGAACAGGTTGTTCAATTCATCTGCTTTTCAGGGAACACAGCAAAACACACGTTCTTGATGCTCAGGCATCCCCCCCACCTCTGGGAACTCGCCCATCTCACCGGATTCGTCCACCTCCATGGCTTCCGGCTCGTCCTGGGACTGGGAGAACGTCAGGGACGTTTCAGCTAGCAACTTCCTCAAGCGAACGAGTGGTTGGGGCTTCTGGTAGACTGATGACTTATTATACTCACAGGGCAAAAAGGCTCAATACTGTACCATACTCCAAGCAACCTGGCCATTCCAAAAACCTGCATACCAAAAACGGGCTTCGCTCTTGTGATCTCTTGTATGTCTCAAAATGTGGCCAAAACGAGACGCTGCCTCCCTAACCCCATCCCTAAAACACCCCATCCCTGCTGCTTGCCCTCTCCATCCGTCCTCCGCCTCTTCCGTCTCTGGGACTCCCAGGGCGGTGCCCAGGTTCAGTGCCGAGGGCGCCCGACGCAGCAGTGTCCGGGACTCCGGAAGGATCCAGTCCTTGGGGTCGTGAACGGTCGTGTTGCTTCAGATGGCCTGGTCCCCAAACTGGCCACCACCTGGACCTGGGGATTCCTGTCTAAGCCGTGAAGCAGGAAGATGACTTTGGCGAACACACCAACATGTTGTTCGAGCTCATGTTGTTCTCTCATGATCTGTCGCCGGTCGCGGAATGCAAGGTCAAAACATATCGTCATGAAGGGCAGCTATTGCACCAGTATAATTGCTCAACCAGTGCGATTGCACAAGGTATCCCCAGGAGCTTTTGTCAACATGTTGTCAATATGTCATACATTTCCATGCTATTCCAACATAACAATCTTGGATACAGTCCACCTACCGACCCGAACACCCCAGAGCTCCGGGCGTGATCACTGTCAAGGATGGGCCGCCGCTGGTGCCGATGGTACAATAAGTTGATCTCAGTGTGGCAGTGTTTCACTGCCCAACGAGAGCAAAGGCGAGGGGAAGTCTCACCAGATTTTGTCAGGAACTTCCCGCTTCCCAGCGGATCTTTGTCAGGCTTTGACGGTGACCTTTTCAATACATTCTGGGATCTCAAGTTCAAGTTCAGTACCAAGAATGTGATCCCTGAATAGAGACTGACTCTGGGAAGGTTGAAGGTCCTTGGAAGGTCCTGGGAAGGTCGACTGACTCGGCTCCTTTCACCCGACTCTGTACCAAGTCTCCGCACCAAGGACGTCAGGCTCGTGCGCAGGGCTTTGGCCGCTGGAAGAAGGGATGCCTCGGCGCGGCCGGCGACCGCACCGGCCCGATCTACGCGTCCTTCTGTGGACCAAGGAAGACGTGAGTGGTGAGCCAAGGGGCTGCGGTTCTTCTTCCCAATGGCCTAAGGGTGTTGGATCTTTTTCTATCTTGGAGGGTGGTGATGGAAAGATCCCGATAAATCCAGTAGTGCATATATGTTGAGTCTGGCATTCACTTGCCATTTTTGGGGTTGCCAAGTGCGCCTCCTCTCACAAATCCATTGAAGCCAAAACAGCTGCCTACGAGCACTGGCTAATATTTGAGATACCTGCGTTACCTGTGCAAAGGCACACATCCTTCACTTCAGCCGTCAAGTCTGAGCTCCTCGCATGCCAGCCATGCCAGCAGGGGGGGCCCAAAAGGCCGTATAGACGAAACACGCATGAAACTATATCGTCAGCCTAAGCATTCTAAGTTACCTACCACACTGACTGCGGGATTTCCTGATTTCACTCACGGAATTTGGCTTGCCATGCTCCAATTGATCCAGGGACCCCTCCTCTTTTTGCTCCTTCCCTCCGGAACTCGCGACCGTTTACAACACCACGACGGATTTCCTGAGAAGGCTAGCCTGGTCCGGCATGGCAGTCACAAAGTGGTAGGCCAAGCGGTTCAGGAAAGGGAGCAACTCCTTCACCTGGAGCAGCCAGACTGAACACACTACGGCATACACCAGTCATAAGTCATGACTTGTCCATGTTTTAAGAACGTTGTTGTAAAATATATTTGGAATTTGGGAGCGTGCTTTCTTAGGTGAATTAGCACACCATCACCGCCATATATATATATATACATTTTCATACATTCTCCGACACTCACATTTTGCAAGTTTGCTCCTTTCCCTGAGGCTGAGCAGAACCCCTTTGGAGAGAAGCATCGTCTTTTAGGGGCCGCGAACGGCCCCAGTGGCATTTCCATGAGTGACTCAAGCAAAACAATTGCCAGCGGCCTATGCATCAAGTATCTCCAGTCAGGCCTTGATATCAGCCTTTTTTCTAGGCCATTATGGGTGTGGGTCAGAACCCAACAACCGAAATTGATCCCTGAAGATGAACATTTTCCTCTATTAATTATGAGGGATGTCAAGCTTCCATAATTTCTTGGGTGAGGCTTTGACCCACACAATATTTACTGAGTCACTGAGCTAGCCCTTCCTGTTTCGTAGCGGAGACAGGACCTCGGATCCACGGCCCCCGAACTCTCCGAACCTCTTCTAGTCGTAGGGGATTGGCTTCGCCGAAGAACTCGTAGTCGTACATGGGTTGGAGTTGTACGGCATAGACCTCAGTGGGCACAGTTCCTGGAAGAACTGGCCACTTCACGGCATCACATGAGCGTTGGATATAGAGTTGATGGAAGAACATCTGCACCATTGAGATGTTTCTTAAACAGAACATCCACGACAATTCTTGTCTCTGCATCTTAGAATGCCATGTGCATCAGCCATTGGGTAATGCTCACTCAGCTCAGCTGGCTAGTATAGGTGAAAATACCTCAAAACAGCCAAGCCTGTGGAAAAACAAACGCATCCATACCACCATCTTCAACAGTTTCAATCTAGTCCAAGCTCCAGGGTACTTGTGAGAGTGACCAGTTTCGTCGTGTTGATTTTTTCTCGGCGATGTTGCAGGGAGAGGTGCGCTGCGTGCGAGGTGCACCGTAGATGATCAATTTGTAAATCTAATGGTGGGTTCTCATCACCCACTCTCACGGTAGCTGGACTCCTTCGGTTGGATTGCGTCGCTGCACGTTGCTGCACGAGGTGTCCGAACCAAGTTCCTGTAGCTAGATACGGGACTGATGGGACAAGTGTGGTGCGAGTGTAGGACTAGGGCCTAGTCAAAGCGGCCAAAGCGGATCTGACAAATACACTCAAATACAGCTTCTTCCAACTCTGACTGTCTGAGTCCAGCAAGCTTCGCAATCCTTTTCACTACCGAAGGCGAAACCCATGAACCTGAAGCTAGTCTTGTTCAATGGCTTGTTCGTCTCTTCTTCTCTTTCTTTATTTTCGCGCGGACGCCGGGCTGCCCGGCGCAGCAGAAGACCCGCAACCGGATGGCCTCCGCGTTGGCCAAACTGGGCGGCTGAAGCGCTTGGAAGATCGCCTCCGTACTGCGATTCCTGCGGGGCAGGGGATTGGGCGCGCTCCGGAGAGTTGCCTTTGGCACCAATTTGGTGTGGTGAAAGGTGTCGATCACCATCCGATCGCAAACTGAGTGAACTCGCAGGGATCCCTGCGAGGTCGGCAGACTGGTGACGTCACCCACTTTTTGGACGACTATAAGGTGTTTGGATAGAGAAAATGTGGCCAAATAGGTGGAATGCCTGGGCTACTATAAGGCCTATGTTAGCTTTCACTTGTTCTTAACTGATATCATGATATATCATGATGCCATGATGTGGTCGGATGGCCATGGAATCCTCATCAAACAGCATGAGTCTGTTCGGCAGGTAAAGAACAAATGATTGGTTGGGATCATCCTGCGCACAATGGATGAAAAGGCGGCCTTTGGTGTGACTCGTCCTTCGCCTTTGAACGTCTGGAGTTGTTTGTTGAAATCATGCAAATGTTGATCAAACAACATTCATGGAAATAACATGATCGCAACAACAATCTTCAATTTTGTTTGTCAACTATGCCCACAGATTTTGTGTTGAAAATATCTGTCTTAAACACCTATATGTGGAAAACGTGCACACACACACACATCTCCACTTGTCAACGAAAACCTTCAAGTGTGGGCGCAGGAATGGGCAGCGGGGGACAAACTGACGCCCCACAAATGGGCACTGCTTCGTCTCCAAATCCTCAAGAGCCACAGAAGCTTCTGGTCGCAGAGTGACAATCAAATGGCCATGGAGTTGCATTGATCTTTCAACAAATCGTCCAAAAACACAAACACGAAACATCACAAAACACCACCACCACCACCACAACAACAACAACAAACAAGTACAAACAACATACAGCAATAAGATCATCAATTCGTCAATCTGTCCCATCCTCTCGCCCCTCTTCTCTCCAGGCATCGACATCGACATCGGACACCCCGTCCCGTTCTCCACGTGCTCCTCATGAGGCCGTGGAAGCTGGGGAAGAGCCGCTCGGCCAACGGGGTGGCGAAGGCCAAGGTCTGCAAGACCTGGCGCGGAGCCGCGGAGCGCGGCGCTCCGCGGAGGGCCGATGGGTAGGTCCGGCCATGTCGCCGGTTGGGGGCGGTTGGGTCGGTTGGGGTTCAAGAGTTGCAGTTAAGATCTGGGTGAAGGGGAGTCGTGAAAGAAGAGGATATTGATTGTCTGTTGGGACCTTTGGGATGTATTGGGTAGGGGGAAAGGGTTGTGCCTCACCAAGCAACAACTGAGCCAGTTCGCACCCGTTGCGGGTTCCGCAAAGCTGACTTCGCATCCCAGAATGGCCCTCTTTGAGGAAACCAGGGAGGGAGAGGAAAGGGAGCCTAATGGCAAGATGATAGGAGCACTTTTGCTCCAGTGTCCATTGTAAGAGAGGGAGCTGCCTCTACAAAAGAGACATGCTTTGCACGAATGCAGCTGGAAGGGAGTGGCCCAGGACAAACACTGTGCGATGCGGGTTCTCCATGGTTCTAACATGTTCTAACTTTTTCACGGGGCCTGAGCAGGAAGATGGCTCTCGGGGACCATCTCTGTGGCAGCTGAGTGAGCTAGCTCCATCCAATGTCCACACAAAACGTGCCTCAAACACTTCATTCCAGGATCAAAATTCTGAAGACAATTCAGGTTGATTATGTTCCACTTCCATGTTCGCCGTCAAAGACCCACTCCAATTCACATTGAAGCTTTGGGAGTTGGGGTGAAAGGCAAATTCTTGCATGGCGCACGTCTCAAGCCATACACCCAACTGACTTCTCACGATCGCCAGCTGCCCCTGCTGGCTCGAGTCCAAATGGTCCAGCAACAACGTAGCTCTGTCCAAATCCACTTGAGGTGCATCCGCGCGGTGAATTCGGAGGACGCGGCCCCAGCCGGACAATCCTGCGTCAATGGCCATGCCCTGCGTGGACACTGTGAATTTAAACGAGTACGGTGCGCTGAAGCAAACACTTTTCTGCAACTCGGCCATTCGGCTTTCAGCCTCAGTTCTTCTTTTCAGGAGCCCTGTGTGGCCTGAATCACCAGTCCGGTCCAGTTTGGAAGGTGGAACTCATCCAAAAAGCCACTCCCAACTCCCAAGCATTCATGAACACATCCGGGAGTCCCAAGAGTCAAAGCCCAATCACTTGCACTCGTCGTCTTCAGTTCCACCCTCCCAGCCCGATCACATAGCATCCACACAAACCCAGTCACATGTGACATCAAAGTTCACAATGAGGTCCTCCAAGTCCATCTTCCAGCTCTTCGAGCGTCGCCTCCTTCTCCAAGCGCGTCCCCCAGCGTCGCCCCGCTCAAGCTCAGCTCAGGAAGGCTCACAGCTCGCGCTTGGAGGGTGGCCTGCAAGATGGACGGCCACGCCATGGCAGAAGCGATGGAGGAACTGACATGTTCTGCTCTGGAACAATGGCCCATTCATATCCATTCAAGTATCCATTCATCCACTGGGTCTGTGGCAATATCGAATGAACGACGGGATCCGGGCTTTGACATGTATTGACATGTAATTATAGCTCGTATAGCTGCTGTTGCTGTGCAGTGTGACAAGCTGGGTTCCGTCCAACACAGCCAGTAGCGCAACATGGCGCAACACCTTGGCCGTGCTTGGGCCAGTCTGGGTCACGCTTCACGACCTGGGACAATGGTCCAAAGATTCCAGCATTCTCAGTGAAGATCGAAATCATTCGAAATCCATTGTTACATGGTCTTAAAGAAAGCCCCGAATCTGAGAGACTGACCACGACGACTAACACATGACAAGCTCCCTTCATCATGCCTTCCCCAGCCTTCCCCCACTACCTGCGCGCTGGGAATCAGTTTTTTCGCGATTCCAGTCGCAAGGAATGTAGGTCCGGTGGGCTCAGGGTGATTGCGGAGAATCTCCGGAGTCGTATCCAGCACCGCCCTTCTTGGGTGATTTGCAGCGACGCTCGGGCCACCAAGCGCATGCAGCCATGGTGGAAGAACCATCCACTGTTTGCGGCTCCTCGTAGCCTGAGGCGCAATCCGCGGAGGCTCGGAGGCACCTGGTTTCTGATGTGTTTTTGGTTGAGGAGAATTGAAGAATCTGGTAAAGGCCTGCGGCCTGCCTGGAACAAAAAACAAACATGCTCTCATTCATGGTCTCGGACCTCGACAAAAATTGGCTTCAAGAGAACAATGGGAAGGAGTTTCAAGCGGACTCTGTTTTTCATGTCAAGGGCGGCAAAACACAGTGAGAGTCTGCACTGCACCATGACCAGGGACAAGCTGGACCAGGAAAGAACTCTTCAACCCAAGGCTGGTCTTGCCAGAATCAATGTTCTCTCCAACTGCAACATGCACTGATTGAGCATGTTGCCCCCCAAAACAAAACACCTTCGCTGAAAGCTGGCCAAACCTCAAACCAAATTGTAACACTGGCTTCGAACTTATGAGAAACCTAAGCGAAGCCAATAGGTTCCGTATACTCCGCGACTCCGCGACACGGTTTCAAAAAAAGGCGCCAGACCAAGCCACACAAAATCAGTCGCAGTGGCACCGGTTTGGCGTCTTCGATCAAGCTTGCAAAGTGTTCAGCGCGTTCCCAGGCTTGGAGTCCAAGGACCAACAAAAGGAGTCCTGGAGCTGTTTGAGCGTGGGTCCGGTGCCCAGATGAAAAACGAACATGTCATTGACATTCTATGACATTCCTCTGGCCCATAGTGTATATAGCATGATGCAGCCAGTTGAAAGCAAAATAGAGAGGCATAAAAACTCTCAGTCACCCTTAACACCTAAATCAACTGAACATACGATAAGGACAACAAGGAAGCATTGTATTCCTTGCGGGGGGTCCTTGGAGCGTTGATCAGCCCACGAAACACGAATCAGCGAGCTGGCAAGCAAGTGATTCAAAGCAAATAGGAACCACATCCAAAATCCAACACCAAACAAAGGAACATGCTGGTTGCAAAGATAGGATCGGGTGTCCTCGATTCTCATCTGGCTTGAACTCTGCAGTCGCTGTCTTCACTTTCTCGTGTAAGCCCTGACCATCCTTCATAACATAAAAACTGTACCGCAGGAGCTCCGCCAGAAAGTGCGCGTGTGTTTGGTCTAGTTCCTGACTGTGCGGCGCTCTGCCCATCTGGGGGCGGTACAACAATATCAAAAGAGCCAACATCCATGAAGTCTGATGTCGACTCCGGACAGCACCAAACCACCAGCAGAACCTCTTAGACAGGAACGACATGTGGCAACGTCTAGGAGTTTTCAAACCAAAACGCCACAGGATACCGTATGATGGCAGGAAAATCCTCACCAGACTGCAGCAAGGCTTGGGGAGCAAACGCAACTCGCTTCGAGTGAAGAAGGGGGGCTTCTGGAAGTGATGGAGCCCAATTTACCGAGAAACAGAGTTTCAGAGTTTTCCAGGTTTGTGCTAAATTGTTGAATTCTATTGAATTCTCCCTTTGGGGGGGGGCACTGGAGTAATGTTTGGATTGGTTGGTTCGACATGGTTCGACTGGATTGCGATGGTCATTCAGCTGCCAAGCCTCGCCCAGGACTTCAGCCAATCCCATGCTGGACAGGCGTAGCTGTATGTGGACCAGCCTCAAGACCTCATTGCCCTCAATGGCAGGAGGATCTGCCCGAATCCTCCTGACTCTGGCAGTGCATGGAGCACTAGATCACTACACCATCGGGACCCGGAGCACGTACCATTGGATGCCTTGGAAAAGGCCATGCGACATATACCCCAACCGATCAGATATGGGCCCTCCCGTAGAAGGTTTGGGGTACTTCGGAATCATTCCGGGAGGGTTTTCAGTACATATGTTTCTTAAATTGCTATTTAAAAAATATTATATATATATATATATGTGACATTATGTGTGTATATAATAATATGCCTAATTATTCCAAAGGTGCTGGACCTCCTGGGAAAAGCTTTGTCGGCTTGGTGTGTGAAAGCATGCCCATACACGCACATCAAGAATGACACCTGTCCACAAAGCCCTGCAGAATATGTTTATGTTGTTCATGTGATGTTTTCCTAATAATTATGCATGGTTCTGAACCCCCGAGGAGGTTGCCATACAATTAGTTAAAGAACCATTGTTCAAACAAATGATTCCGGAGGGTCACCACTCCCCTTGGAATATCTTGGCAGGCTCCATAAAGAGATCCTATAGAGCCGGGAATGCAGCTCAAGCATGTCAAAACAATCATCGCTTCACTCCTGAAAGCACTCAAGACCTCATCACTTTGAGTTTCCTTGGACCAATCCACGTCCAGTGACAAGAGAGCTGCTGCCCCATCTCCCACCTCAAGAGAGGGAGTGGCATTGGGAAAAGGAAGCACTCGTAAGTTTCGTTCAAAAGCGGCCGGAAAGGAGTGGCCCAAGGGGACAATGCCCGCCACACCTCGCCCGCTCTCATGGCTTCTCAGCAGGAAGATGGGATCAGGTCTCTCGGGGACCATCTCCGTGGCAGCTGAGCGAGCTAACTCCATCCAATGTTCACACAAGACATGCCTCAAACACTTCATTCCAGGATCCCAATTCTGAAGGAAGCGCAAATTGATCATGTTCCACTCTTCCATGTATGCCGTCAATCGTGCTAAAACTCGCACAAAGCGCACGTAGGCCTCGTCCGTTGCTGGAAAGGCCTCTTTCAGCAGCTTGCATGTCATGATTGGAGGAACTTCATCTACTGTCTTCACACTCCAATTCACGTTGAAGCTTTTGGAGTTGGGGTGAAAGGCAAATTCTTGCATGGCTTTCAGCAGCTTTCCCGTGTTAGGGTACGTCTCAAGCCATACGCCCAACTGACTTCTCACGATCACCAGCTGCCCCTGCTGGCTCGAGTCCAAGTAGTCCAGCAACAACGTAGCTCTGTCCAAATCCACTTGAGGTGCATCCGCACGGTGAATTCGGAGGAGGACGTGGTCCCAGCCGGACACTCCTGCGTCAATGCCGTGCATCAATGGCCCGTGTCGGCCCGTCTACCAGTCACTGACCGTCACACCCACTGACCGCCAACCACACCGTCAAAGCCAAAAGGTTCGTTTAAAACGTGAATGCCCAGCAGTCAGTTCTGCTCCGCCCACCCCAATCGTCCCGATGGCCCCGATAGGAACCAGAACACCGACACACCAGTCGTTGCAGTCGTTTGAACCGGCAGGTTTGGTGAAGACTCCAAACTAATTCGATGCAGTTAACCCTCTTCCACTCACAGTCCTAGAAGTCCATCTTCCAGCTCCTGCAAAGTCTCATCCTGGTTGCGCCAGAAGCTCCCCAGCGTTTCCCCCGCCAAACTCTGGCACGTCACTTGGATTTGATTTTCTTTGAAAGACAACGTGGCTTGGAGAACCGTGGAGGGCCACACCATGGCACGGAAGCAAACACTTGCTTGGAATTGGCTGATATTGATCTGATTGTGGTGCATTGTGGTCTTTGGCTTCTGAGTGTGCTTCTTTTGTTTTTCCAAAGCAGGCTGTTTGTTCCGAGTTCGATCACGTAGGCAGAATGCTAGCCTGGTACTGAAGTATGTGCACTAATCATCCTTTTGGCGATATTTCCCGATTCGGGCGATCTGAAGGAGGCAAAGCGGCGTCCTTGAACCAAAGAGGTATAGCGCATGTTCTTTGGGTAGGTCTTCATGCAACCATGGTTGATGCTACCAAACATTCCTCTATCCAATTCATTCTGTTCAAGTCTTCATCTTGCCGGTGGTAGCATGCCCCAGTTGACCCCATTCAGTCTGGCTAAAGGTTGCAAACACCAGTCACGTCTTCGTGCTGTGACCCCCTTGACCTCCAGTGGAGGATCCACCTCAGACTCTGCACCGCTGGACCTGCCGCGCTCAGGGCTCCACGGGGATGCGACACGGTGGAAATGGCTTTCGCCGCGAATGGATCTGCTTTGTCAGGAGGGTTTGGACCAACCAACAGCCGCAGGCGGGCTCAGGAGGGTTTTCACATGGCCTGACGTGATCTTCAGGAGCATTTCTCCGACCCGATGTGGGTCGACCGGGCTCGACCCGGTGAAACAGGCCAATGGAAAAAATGTGAAGAATCGTGAATCGTGGCTGGTCAAACTCCAATCAGCTTGAGTTGGTGGTTGGGAGTATAGCTAATCGGATAAGTCACTGATCTCATGAAGTGAGTCATATATGCAGTCGTGGCTTGCAAATCCGACAGGATGGAAGTGAAAGCTCCGTTGGGTCTTCAGATTTTGCGGGTCAGTGTAGGAAGGGCGAAATCAGCCAGGGACCAGGGATTCGGAGTCTAAGAGGTTGCCTGGGGGGCCATGTCCATGTCCTCAGATGGATCCCCCTGGCACCCCAACCATGTTCGCAACGGAGCTAGGCCAGGAGCGCTAGGGATGACTGATTCCCAAGGGTCGTCACTTCAGCAGCCCGGAAACCAGGGAACATGAAAACCACTGGCCACGCTCATAAGTCAAACGGCGACCCTTCACGACATTGAATTGAGCACATGGCCAATCCAAATGTCCAAGCATAAAGAAATCCAGAAAGCCAAACCTTCTCTCATCCGGGGTGGTCAATAATCTGACCACCATATCTTCTTGCACAGCTGGGGCCCGAAGTTTTTGTAGCTCAACTATTCAGACCTGACCTAAGGAGTGAAGGACTCAAATGCTGTAGTTTTCCTTCCAGATTCTTTGGAGGTACCCTATTCTTGAGCCATAGCCACCTGCCCAGCCTTCGAACTCTGGGCGCCCGAACGGCGCAAAGTACAAGCGGCACACGGCCAGTAGCACATCCTCGCGCGAAGAACCGCCTACAGCGGACAGCAATGTCCTCACGAAGCTACCACCTCAGATCTGCAAAGATGGGTGCTGCACCTCTGAGGTGCCAAGCAATGAAGGTTGACAGGTTGACACGAAGCGATTGACCAACCTGGAGCCCTAGTTTGTAATCAAGGATATCGTAAGGTTACTATAAGAAAAACCCATTCCATTGCATAATCATCAGTACCCATTTCACAATTTGTGCGATCCTCCTTTCAAAGCAATGACTTCGGTCTTTTTTGCACGTTTATTGTTCAATTTCCACACGCGCGGGTTGCACAAATTGTAGGGGTCACGTAAAGTTACAGGGAGTTGCACACCCAGTTTGGCCACGAGGAGTGAGCAGCACAGCAACATAACAGTAAGATCTTGACAGCAACGCATTGTCAACGCTTTAATTGTGCTTAAGCAAGACCGGGAACCGAGCAACCAACAAAAACACGCAAGTACTTTTCTCATATATGACCTCGGGAGTTGGCCATGATTCGATGGTGCCAGTAGGTTTGCAAATGGAATGAATACGCTCACTCACTCTCTCATTCTCTCCGTTCTCCTCTGTCTCCATCGCCCATCTTCCAAGCTCAGCATTTCTACAGAATGACATGATCAGCATTGAGCACATGTTGTTACACGCCGTCACTTCCAAGGGGTGTCCAAGTGTACAACCAATCAAGTCCAAGTGGTGTAGTGGTGTAGGATATATGGTGTAACGGGCTTGGGCATGTCCAGCCAGGACGGATGTGCGGACAGCTGGTCTAGCCGACCCACCGCAACCCACCGACCCACGTCGACCCGAACACTCGCGCTGTCTCCGGTTTTTTTTTCGGTCACGTCCATAGAGCGCGCGGTGGCACCGCAGTGATGTGCCCGTCGTTGGTTAGAAAGGGCCCAAGCGCAAATGTGGGTAGTCGGTGAGGGACAAGGCCTCTCAGCTGCTCAATGAGCTGGGCTGATTGTGAATGACACCAAATGACACCGAATCAAGTTTTGTTAGTTGTTTCATGTTGCTTCATGTTGTTTCGTTACTTTTTGGGGCTCTGATCTCAGAACACCTTGAACAAACATGCAAAACAGCAAATGTTACAAACGATCCTCTCCTTCGGTGAGCTTGAAACCATTTTCACCAAACATCAAACGATCTAAATCCCATCAAACTCCCCCGCTTTTCACTGGAAAAACCGCCGCTTCTTCCTGTCATCCCGCCGCTTTTCGCCTGGGAATCGGCCAGGAGGACCCAGCCGGCGTCCAGGAGCCAGCGGCGGATGTCGCGGTGGATCCAGCGTGCGTGGGTGCTCACGTGCAAGCGCTGCACTGGGAGCTGAGCCAACCAGGGCATCAGGGAGCGGAGCATGCCGTGCTCGGCGCCCTGGGCGTCAATATCCACCAGGTCCTTAGAGGTGGAGATACCAAACAAAGTACTCGGTGACTACAAACCATTGGCGCAATCTTGATCCATGTTCAGTGGTGTGAAGCAGTACCTGCTTCTTTTGCAGGGCCGGGTGCAGCATCGACTTTTGTTTCAAGCAAACGTTCCATCTATCGTGATGTGTCTTCAAATTAGGACACCCACCTCGCGTGACATTCAAATCACGTGGATTGCCACGTTAGATATTTTTCAAGACACAAAAATCAACATCGAGCACGGGTGCGTTCACTTAAAATGAGAAAGTTGCCATAAAGTGCCACCAGAACGTGATACGAAACCACAAAACCAAGCTGTTGTCCCAGCATGTGCAGGAAAATAAAACAACATATCAGAAATCGATTGGAGCACAAACGAATAGAACCAAACATAATCAATAAGCCTATGTCACCACCGTCCACAAGCTCATTCTCTCCAAGAATCCCACGATTTTCCCTTCAGCAACTGCTGGAGATCATCTGAGGTTTTGACGGGTTTCCCCTCGACGCGTATGTCACATCGACCCTCCGGCAGGTTCGCCGCGGAATGGTTCTCCAAGGCGGAGCCGTCGCCCAAGTCGTAAGGTTCCACTAACAGCACCTCGCAGTGCCCAGCGCGGCCCGGCGCCGTTGCGTCGCTATCTGCCATGCGAACAAAGGCCTCAAACTGAAAAAGGTGCTCTGCACGATTGGTGAGTGCCTGGTGATACCCTTGGGCCCCTTGAAGGGTGGTGATCTGCAAGTTGTGACGTAAGCAAGAAGCTACCCGAAGTGTAGAATTCAGAAATCCGTCCAAAAGTATCTATAGACAAAAAACATACGTATGCGTATGTATACCATTCAATACGGTATCCTTCACTGCTTTTAACATCTTTTTAACATGTTCTTGACTAACAAGGTTCACCAGGTGATTTTACATTTTTGGCGCACTGACATATTATATTGATTGTCATGCAAAATGAAGTTGATCAAGAAAATGCAGAACTCCTACCTCCCTACTCGTCCTGTAACCTGAGGTGGCCTGCCCTTCCCTATCTCTTCTCTCCCTGTTTTTCCCGCCTTGGCAGCTCGAATCCCCCAAAGCCCAATGGGTCCTGATCCGATCTCCGCCACCCGCAGGCCGCCGTGTGTTCGGGCGGCGGCCGCGGCGATGGATAAGACATCGGCCCATTCCAGGTATTCTTCGTCCAAGAAGGGCCAGTTCCTGCTACTAGGAACAAGTGCATCGCTTCTAGTAACAAGTGCCTTACTAGTAGTAACAAGGACGCTACTAACAAGGTTCGCTACTAGGAGTAGCTTAGGGCATCGCGACTCGAACGGAGCGATCGGACGAAACCGAACGGGGCGCTCCTGGCCTACTGGTAACAAGGGCTGTGGCTTTGAATGGTGTGATCGGATAGCGGCCCCAATGCACACGAGTGGCGCAAACACACACAAACACGACTTTGAGTTGGATGAACCTGGGCTTGGCGATGAAAATCACCCTTATAGTTTCTTCCTCTTCGTGGTGGCCTGGATGTCCTTTTCTTCCCCAAACAGCTTGGGCGTGTAATCCGACTACTAAGTAGGTCATCACACTCGCGCACCGCGGCACCGCACCGCGGTCCCACCGGTCTTCCGCCTCAGGGGTGTCCCGTTGGCTTCGAAGTAGCACTCGAGGATTCGGCTCGGCGCCAGGAGGACGGACATGTCTTTGAAGCACACGTCCGGCAAACGGGTGGTAATGCCCAAGAAGTCCTTATTGCTGGACTCCAAACGGACTGGGTGGGTGAACTCTCCGGTGGATTTCTTGGGACCCGGTTCACGGTTCGTGGTTGAACGGTCCGGTCCTGGGTTAAACAGGACCGGAACACTGTGGATTGGACCAAACTCACATGTGTTTGGAAGTGATGATTTTAACTTTTACAGACCTTAACAGCAATTTGCATGTGATTTCCACCACCCCCTTTGAGCCAGGCTTAGTGTGGATGACTAGGATGACAAGTCTTCTGACCACAGGGGCTCTGGGTACTCTCACCACAACAACAGTGTGCCATGTCCTGCCGAAGGTCCATAATCTGCCCATCATTGGGCGGCCCTTGCACCGGAGGAAACAACTGAAAAATGGGCAAGTGCTCCGAATGGCAGGAGCGGGTGAAAATGTTGGGAAGGCAGCTGTTGCCTAGCCCATGCAGCCAATCCCAAAGCGGCAAATACAAGGCATGGGCTTGGCGCAAGATTTGTGCCACGAGGGCTTCGGAATCCTTGCCATAGTTCCTCACGGGACACGAACCGGCAGAGGTCACCATAGAATGTTATGGCACATACTGTAACTTTTTGTGGCAAGACGCAACGTCAAAGAATCATATATATATATATATATATGTGAACACTACTTAGTCACTACTTCAGGCTAGCAAGTGACTCAAACCTAAATAAATGCAAAGACTGGAATCATGGATTTTGAAAAGTGTTGCTCTTGGCCAACTGTGCTTCAACTCTTCATCCACCAGTGCCAGCATCCCCCGGATCTTTTTCCAGGTTGCCGTGTGGATGTGTCCCATCCGTTCTTCGTAGATCTGCGTGAGATTCAGATCGCGGGGGTGGCTGATAGGCGTGGACAGCCGTCGGGAGAGGTTCCACAAGGCCTCCCGATCATAGAACAAGGAGGTCCTGCACCAGCGGATCTGCCACAGAATCATAGAACAACAAAGGGTTCCATCAGAATCCCACAAAACCATTGGTTGCTGTGACTTGCTGTGGGATTCTGATGGAACGAAGAATTGCCCGTCGCCCGTGGAAGAACTTTATGAAGTTGAGGTACTAGCTCATACTCACCGCACCGTCATGACTATATAACAGAATCCTTATATATTATATATATATATTGTATATAAATCACATTGTTGAAACCACCAACCAAACTTTTGTCTTTTCATTGTGGACCATGCTGCATCCAAATCTCATGCTCTTCCTCATTTGCATCTCCAGCTTCTCAGCCGTCTCCCAGGTTTCCTTGGTGTCTCAGGGAGTCTCTTGCCACCCCAGTCCGGTCGGTTCTTTCACAGGTGCTACCTTTCTTTAGAGCAGTGCAGTCTGACGACTGACGATCTGCTGAAGTTTCATGAATATGTCGAAGTAAAGAACTGCCACAAATGCTCAGAACTTGTTTCATGCAACACGTCACGTACCACACACGCCCATTCCTTCAACCACAGCCCCAAACACTCCAAACGTTGCAAGCATGGAGGCTTACTTATACAGTAAACATCGAAACATGTTGCAACCAGCATTGTAAATATTCCCATGGATGGTCCGGGTGCGGTCGGTCCACACAGGGTCCGGGACGACAGGATGGAGTCCGGAGCCGACGACAGGATGAAGAAGCTGGTCGCGTAGTGATGGTTCATCACATTAAAGAGACATGTTCAACACGGGGTCTCACTATGTTGCGACTTGGAAGTTTGATGGACTTTGGGATTCTACCCTTGCGACAGCCAAACAACATGCTCATTCCTCCATGTGGATTCTTTTTGTGAGAAAGGCTCCCTGAGCCAACTGAAGCACCGGCATGCCGTCTCCAATGCCCTCCGCTTGGCCGCCACCAATGCACGGCTGGGTCGATCATGAGCACACGCGTCCCAGAGCGCTGAGGGATCCTCCCAGGGTTCACCGGTGTGGCGCGTGGTCCGCGATCTGCGTGGTCCGCGATATCCCCAGGTGGTTCCATCACGACCCATCCCCAGGTGTTCCATCACGTCTGCTGGAGTTGGTCCCCTGGCTCTGGTTGACTCAGCTGTGTTCGTCATCTGTTGGGTCTTTCTGACTTTGATGCAGAAAGAAGCTGTGCTCGCTGGCTTCTCTGTTGGGTGAAAAGTCACATATGCATAGTCGTGCATACTGATGGTATGTCATAAGGTGCCGGCGGCACCAAATCAGGGTGGAGATCCTTCAGCACCAAATCAGACACAAACTGAGCTGCTTGGAGACATTTCATGATTGGTGCAGGCATTTGGTCCTGGAGAAGCCTGAAGCACACCCAGTAACTTCGCGGGCATATGCAGCTTCAAGAAAAAACATGTGGTTTCAACCCGCCACTTTCTTCAACACAAGCACTCAAAAATATTGCTCAAACATTGCGCCGTTTGAGCACCATTTTGTGCGTTTCGGGATTGGCATGTTTTGCTTGAACATGTGTTCCCTCACAAAAAACAAACACACACACACAGTAAAACAGTTAAGCACTTAACGGTGCTGTTTCGTTCTAAAAAAAGGAAACGGCCTTCAAACATATAGTTAGTTCATGTTTGGCACACGCACAATGATTTACGATGTTATCACTGGATAATTTGCATAACACTGACAGTACAGCCAGTATAGCATCAAGCTTTGTTACTCGTGACGTGCAGTGTAAATACGTACATGTAGGTACATGTATGTCTACGATATGCTCTGTACATGTAAGCTCTGTACTGTCCGTGCTGCTCGGTACGGACAAGCGTTTGGGCGGCGGCATCTCCTGGACATGCCGCACCCACCGGAGGCCCTCCAATGCTTTAAACAACTCCTCCGTGCCGCACGGCGCTGCAGCACAGCCGAGAAGCTGCGCCAAAGCAACGAGAAGGACGAAGGGAACCGGGAGAAGCTGCAAGCCGTAGTCATAGAGCTGGAACCGAAGAGCCCAAGGCATTCGTCAAGCAGTGACGAGCAGTAAAAAGCGAAACTCTAATTTCAGGGGCCACATTATCAAATAGTATCAACCCCTTCAAAAAAACGAAGCAAAAACCATTGACGGGTTGCGGGGTGTGACCTCATTTTGGTATGGTCCTTCATGCCACAAGTCTGCCTTCCTCATTGCTTCTATATTTAGCTTTCTTGATGCTTTGTAGTGGCTGATGGTTCCTCTGCCCGGCCCAGCTGCATGAGGTGAGTTGGATGTGGTGCGTGTGTCATTCTTTGTACGATTTGTATATGCTGGGAATTGCTTGGATAATCATATATATATATATATATGCAGCATACAATAGCATACTATCTATTGTTTTCTTTAGCATCCTTAAACTATATCTGGAAATATCTGTCTGGTAACCATAGCTTGCTGGGCAATGCGTGTTCTACCCGGTACGCTGTCTCTCACTGACGAAATGCTTGGGGCCAAGGGCCGTGACATGCAGTGTTTAAGGCACAACTTGTCAAGCTCCAATAACCATGTCGCGGGCGTGAAACATGTTAAACATGGTCTGGTGAAACCTTGAGCTACCTGAAGAAGTCTCCAGCGTTAGTGGGTGGTGGGCGTCGTTTCATGGGTTGTTCGCTTCGGGGGGGTTCCAGGACTTCAACTCCAGGCTTCCAGCTGCCCAGTTAGCAGGCCAGTTCCCTCCCAATCCAGGGTCCAGTCCGTCAGCGTCAGTCGAGGTCGGGGCGGTGCAGCCGCGCGAGCGTGGCGGAGCCCGGCTTGGCCTCCTCCCCTGAGAGGGACTCCTCCCACGTCCGCGCACGGTTCGGCAGGCACCACGTTCGGGGGACGTGAACAGCCGTGATTTGGTTCGCCGCCCTGCCTTCCCAAACTTTGATTGGACAAGTCTGCTTGAACATGAACATCAGGCCGAATCAAACGGAAGAAGCTGCTCAGACCTTGAGGAATTGTTCCTTCTCCGTCCATTTCCTAAACGGATTGGTGTCAAAAGGGTGATGGCTTTGGAACCCCTGGACAGACTGCATGAGACCTGTAGCCTATGTCAGAACAGCATCCGTGTGAGCCAAGTAGATCCAAGTAGTACAGAACAAATACTCTCCCTCCAACAATCGTGGAAGCTGACCAGGACCCCCTTGTACTGTAGAGGAAAACCATCTTCCAGGGGCCATGCCATGATTGTTTCCACCACTTCTGCAACCCCTTTCGAAACCCGCCTTGGCCCAGGAGAGCCACGTCAAGAGCGCTAGGAGCTCAGCCCCTACGCACACCGCAGGGCTCGTCATTTTCAAGGCGAAGCGCTCCTGACCCGCACGTGTGGACGTGCGCGTGACGTGCGATGTCAAAGCTGTGGGAACTGCCGGGGCCAAACTTGGAGCACACGAGGGCATTCCATTTGCCAAGCCTGGCACAGGGTAAAAATTCACAAAAACTCGAGAGCTAGTGGTTTCTCTTTAGCTTTAAACTCTGGAAACTGGGAAGCCGATGAAAGAATTGCCTCCCCAACAAAACATGTTCCTACTGCACAAGGGTGGGCCATCTGTGACCGTGTCTTTTGGAGGAATCACACCATTTGAGCGACCGGCAAACGAACGTTCAACATTGATCGTTTCTACTGAGGCTTCGTTTTTGGTTTTATGGCTTCATTTTTCAAGGAATTGCACCAGTTAGGGTACTATGCTCTGTTTGTTCACCAGGTGAGTTGTATTAGCACTAGACCTTTACAATGTGAAGTACAGCAAAGGAACTTCTTCAAAAACCTACCAGTACAGCAAAGGAACTTCTTACAGTACGGGGCATTTGGGGCAGGGTCTACAAAGGACACTTGTTCGTGGATTTTGGCTTCGTTTGGGGCTTCGTTTTGGCTTCGTTTGGAGACACCACATTTCATGCACTCCAAGAGGATACACATGCAAACATCCCACCAAGAGGTTTCGTTTTTTGGTTTGCCGGCTTCGTTTTCCAAGGAATGTGCAAGATTCTGCAAGATCCCACCAAAAATGATCAATTTTATTCAAATCCTAGTCGCTAGGATTTTGACTGTGGCTCATTTGCTGGTCTGTGCCGTGATGCGACTTGCTCTCGAAACCGGAAACAACTGGGCCTTCTGATCATTTTGGGGGGTGTGTTCGTGCACTGTTCCCGCAGTGCACGAGCATTTCATGGGCTACAACACCCTAGGGCCTTACAAGTAGGGCTCCAACTATTTCCGTTATGAAGTTGTGTGGGATGTCTGGATCCCATGTCCCATCATGCAGTACAACTTCTTAGTTTGGATTCTTGAGCTCTTCATGTCGCTCGCAGCTGCCGAAGGGTTCCGCAAAAAGCAGCTCCAGCAAGGTCGCGATGTTTACCAAGAGGGGAGCTGCCGTTGGCCTGCGCCAAAGAGCAATTGCAATGTCTGGAGTCTGTACTCGAGATTTTTTGTGTCTCACAACATGGAGCCTCACAACCAGTCATTCCAATCTAAATTAACATGCTTGTCGCCCAGCGAATGTCAACTCAAGGATGTTCAAAAAACATGCATCTGCATGGGATAGCTTATTACAAACATCAAGAGTGAATATAAAGGATCCCAGAAGCATCCTTGATGTTTCTCTATCCAATGGACATTTCAATGGAGAAGCTTCGAAGCAATCCCTTGAATCTTGGGAATCATTAACAACAAAACACAAATAAGGTTCGGGGAACTCCTCTACACGATCCAAACAACTTCATGTCCAGAATCTTGTTCTTCAACACGCACACACAATCAATACGGACTCTCACACTGAATTGCACTCCTTGCACGTGTCGTGTGGAAGCGCAATGCGTTGCCTAAGAAGAAACGCATTCCGCATGTGTCGTGGTGCTTTTTGTTTGGAGCCTCCGCCACAACGCGGAGGCTCTTCTTCCTGGTGCCAGAGTCGTCGAACAAGGTTTCGCCGGAGAAACTCTCGACGGAACAACGGCGTGGCCGGTGGAAAACAGCCGGTGCCTCTCTTTCGTCGCCAGCACTCCAGCGGTGTGGACCAGCAAACTGGACAAACCTGAAAGCAATGGACTTCGCAAATCCCATGATTAGGAACAATGGGGATCATGTTTTCGGGGTTCATGCTGCGAAAGGTCCTGACATGTGAGGACCCAAACAATATGTGGGAGGCTCCTGCAATCCCATCACTATTGACAAACTACCCGGCCTAAAAGCTGGGAAATGCCGGGCGGACTGTGCATACACAGGTTCAAGAAAGGGGTTTATGTTGACACATGTTGAACCCTTGCCCCAGATCTTGCACGGTTTTTCTTCCCAAACACCCTTGCTTTCACTTCAGACTCTCCCCGCTTGATTTTGAGATGATGACAAATGGCCGGAAGTATATAATGTACCCCAATTCTCCTCGGGTGCATCCTCTAGCGAGGAAACAACACCAGTGACGTGTCCCTACATGTGGCCCAACCGCGGGCGTTTCCAAACGGAAAGCTGCACCAAAATGATTTAACACGGGATGCTGGACACATCTGGATGTCTGGATACTATTTCCAGCTTCATGACCTTACAGGTCCCTAATTGAGGCATTCTTACGTGGTATTCTAAAGACATACATGACCTTCAAAGACTCAAACGGTCACTTTGGCGACCAAATGTTTCAAACATCAGCTGGTCAAATTGTCAAAAACACGAGCCCTCCAAAACCTCACCCAGGACCTCTGCACGGTGTATGTCCCCCAGGCCATCCAGACGACGTAGGCTCGCAACCGCGATCGGATGGCTGAGGTCCTGCGACGATCTTCTCGTGCTGTGGAGATGTTGGACCCTCCATTTGCAGCAGTGGGAGGCTGTGATCTGGGCAGCTCATTCTGCTTGCACACGATGTAGTATACTTCTGTTCTGTGAGGTCCATTATGAGCTTCTTGAGATCTGTATAGTGTACAGTATACATGTAATGAGCGAAGCGCCCTTCGGATGTGGTTCCACTAGTCGGTTCATGTTCCCTCTTGTTCTTGGTTGCTGAAGGAACAACACTTAGCGGGAAGTGGGAAGAACTACTACAAGCTATAACGATAACAACGACAATAACTTCTTGTTTGGAGAGAACCTGCGAAGGCATTCAAGCGGAAAGAAATATCCCGCAAAAGTGTATATTTCTTGAGATTTGGAACAGCCTGGTGCACTGAAGCTTCAAAATCTGCGGAATCCATCAGAATCCCCCCCAAAACAATCATTCTTGGCTTCAAACAGTTCAGAAACCTGCCCAATCTTCTGAGCTCTACTCCTTGGGAGGCTCGTCCGTAAGCGACTCAAAGCCCTGCCTTGCACAAAGCCTCCACCAAGTTCGGAGTGGAAAGGAGCTCGGTCAACAACTCCTGGGCAGTCTGCCAGGAGTTGGACATGGCGTGAGCCACAACAAAATGGCTCCTTATTACTCTCCTTATTCTATTGGATTGAATAACTGGAATCCAAGCATTTTTCGACCCATGCTGCTAGAGTAATGTGCATTTTGTATTTCCTGCCATTCGGTGTGCATCGCCTGTGGACAAATTACCGGCTCATGTACGATGATAGTGCCACTTAAACAGCTTGCTAGGTACAAACCTCTGACCAATTTTTTCTACACTTCCAGGGGCATGCTCAGCCCTCAGTTCGGAAAACATATATAATTGTCAAAACCCTTCAACGGCTCCCAAACTTCCCACCCGCTCTGACACCTCTTGTTGCGTCATCTCTCACTCCTGACGCGTGCGGAGGGAGGCTTCCACCGTCTCCAAGCTGACGGCTTCCAAGCCTGAGCACCTGAGGTAGGATCAGATAGGTGGTGGCAATGAAAATTGGAAGGCTGAATTTCACACGGTGGGGCTTGGATTTCTCACTCTCTCCAACCGGTGGCAGCACAATCGGATCGGTGAAGCGAGCGATCCATATTCCCACGTCTTCTCTTTCCGTTCAACACGAGCGAGCTTTCCTTGGAAACTGCCGATCATGTCTTCTCTTTGACTCGGCAAAACGGTCTTCACATGTCTTCACTCTTCTTCTGCGCAGTCACCCTGTAGCGAGAGTATGCGAGAGTGAGAACCAACTGCCCTTGCTACCAAT